GGACGAAATTGATGCTGAAAAAGCTGAGAAGGCCAGATGAAGGAGGCGTTGAGGGCGACGATGGCGTCGAGCTCGGTGTTGGTGACGACGTGGAGAGCGGTGTTGTAATGGATCTTGTCGCGCCATCGGTGGAGGAGGTAGTAGGGGCTACGAGAAAAAGAGGACGAAGAAGACGGCGTCGGTGAGGTTGAGTGGGAGTTGGACATTTAGGTCATTTACCCACTAATGATCTAGGTATTTATGAAAATGTCCCTTAAGTGGTGGTAAAGTTGAATTGTGGTACAGCAAAAATGGTATTTTTGCAATTGTCCCATATTTTAAAGTAGCTTTATTTTTGTATACTAAAGTACAAACATTAGCCTATTTAGATCTTGGCAAGTAAGTATATGTCAAACAAAAAAGATAGGAATAGCAAGAAAAATAATGGCAAGTAAATATTAAAATATTTAAATTATTTTTAAATTTAATATCCAACTTTTTTTTAACAATGCCCACCCCTTACTTATGCCATGTGTTTGTAATTATCTTTTTAGATTTAATCTGTGGACCTTATCCTATTTTGGGAAATTGCCAGAAATAACATTTTCAAGATACCACTTTTCAACTTTACACTAACCAATTTTACCACTAAAATTTTAATACTCAAAATACTATTAGAATTTAGAGTTTAGGGTTTTGGGTTTATGATTGATAGTTTAGGGTTTAGTGCTGATTTTTTAGGGTTTAGGGTTTACTTTTTAGGGTTTAGAGTTTAGGGTTTAAGGTTGAGAATTGATATTTTAGGGTTTAGGGTTGATTTTTAGGGTTTAGGGTTTACTTTTTAGGGTCTAGAGTTTAGAATTAATGTTTTAGGGTTTAGGGTTAATATTTTATTTAATATTTATTTTATGTATATATATATATAAAATAATGATATAAGAGTCTTTTATCCTTTAATAAAATGTGTATTTTTGAAAATATTCCTTTATTGATGATAAATATGAAAAGTGGTACCACCAAAGTGGTATAATTGAAATTTTCCCTCCTATTTTTTACTTGGGATAATAATGTGAAAATGTAGAATATCTACAATGGAATATTATTATGATATTATACCATATTAGTGGTAAACATTAAGATATTAGTTTTTGGTTAATAATCTGAAAATTGAGACTTATGTCCTTAATCGAATATAAAAAATATTTTACATTAACTAGGCATTATTTTTATGATTTTGTTATTATATGCTACAAAAATAGTCAATGTAAACAGCTATATAAACCAACCCTAACATAGTCTCACCTTAAAGCCATCCAAAACTAAAAGCATAATTCATTATTTTTCTCATTTTCTCAAATTCACATTGACAAAAAAATCCAAAGAAAATGAAGAGTCTCACAATTTTTATAGCTATAATACTATTTTCAAGCTGTGTTACATCTCAATTCCTTGACTAACAGATGACGAAGAGCTCCAATGGTCGGGTTACTCTAAGGCACCCTCTAAGGCGCCTATCCACAAACACCATCCAAATGAACAATTAAAGAAGTGTTTTTCCAGTTACAAGATGGTAACAAAATGTTTGAGTAAGGCGTTAACCAAAAGACCAACCGTTGATTCTGAGTCTGATTGCTGCGCCAGGATCGAGAAGTTGAATGAAAACTGTAAACATACGGAATTCGGATCATTCAGTAACAACTATGTTCAGAAACATTGTTCTAGCAACAAGGTTCCTACTCCTGCTTATAGTTTATTTTGAAAAATATCGTGATAAATAAATAAATAAAATTTAAAAAAATAAATAAATATCATAAAAAGTCTCTTGTATCGTTGCACCAGCTTAATGCAATGCAGATGTTAGAAAAAATATTGTGTAACTTTCTCTTTACTTTTTTTTTTTGTCAACAACTTTCTCTTTACTTATTGTTGCACATTATAAAATGATTTACATGTTCAGTAATGATAAGATAGTTTTCATTTGAATAAAATTAGCAACTCTATTATAATTCAAGTATTATGCATTCATTTGCTATAGACTCATTAATCCTATTTGTAATGGATGATAAACTAATAACAGAAACACAGAAATTTTATTCAAAGTGTCGCAATAATATCAAAAGATATTACAAGTAATCAAACGAAACTTTGTTTAACACAACAAAGTAAAAACCTTCAAATCCCCGGATTAATTCAAATGCATTATTGATAAAGCATGCAGTCCAACCATTTTCATTATATATTATTATTTCAGTTAACAGATACCATTTGTCTTCTTTCTGTCGGAAACAAACTTCTTCCAGCCATTGATGATCTCTCTCTGCTTGTCCATATCGCTTTTCTTCACCGTCACCATCAAGTTATCGCTGTCAGCTTCACTCTTCTCCTCTCCTAGCGAGATTTTGTGGATTACTCGTGAAGGAAGCTCATCGAGGTCACGCATCACTTTCTCAATATCGGTCACAAGTCTCTCTGCGAGGGTTCTTGAAAAATCTTCTCTGATGACCACTCGAAGAACAGTAATGTGTTGTGCGTTTGGAGGCATCGTATATGCCGGCACTATCCATCCATACCTACATTTCGAATATAAACGGACAAGTTATAGATACATCATATTCATACACAAATCTAGTTACTTATTTTTATGAATATTTGAAAGTATCAATAACGTCTAGTTTATGTATATACTCGCAAGTGCATGAATCATATATCACAATGAAATCTTTCGAAATGAGAAAAGAGTATTTGAGATATTAGAGCATCTCCATTGCTAAAGAATTTCAAAACAAATTACAAAAAAAAATATTTAGTTCATTTATATAATTATTTATCAAATGACAGTTGTTTTTAGAGTATTTCCGAGTTTCGATGGTTTCTCAAACAAAAACTAACCTGCGAAGCATGTCGGAGACTTCGAACTCAGTGTGAGAACTGCTATCTTTCAAGGAGAAAGCGACAAGCGGAACTCCCTCGTCCTTTGATACGATGTTGAACCTTTCTGTCTTCTCAAGTCCTTCCCTTAGCACGATCATATTCTCTCTACAATTCTCCATCACATTTCTATAACCCTGTTTGATCAAATTTTATTTATCAACAAATGTCTAGTTACTTAGCATTAACATGATATATAGTATTTACAGTAGTCATGGACTGACTCACCTCGTGGCCCAGTCGGATAAGTTGGTAGTATTGAGCTATGACTTGACTCGAACCTGTGGTTATTGATGAAAATTGATGAGTGAAAAATTTATTAACTTTAAATGTCATTCTAGAATAAAATTTGTGTTTCAAAATAAGTGTCGTTTCATAATTTTAATACAAAATTTATTGATTTTAAATGTTATTCTATTTTTTCATTTGTTGAAAAGTGGTTAGGTGTATAGATAATTGTGTTTTTATTTTGAAAATATGTAAAATTAATTAATTGTTTTCTTAATCTGTGTGCAAAACTCTAGAATAACAATTAAATTGAAATAGATGGAGTATTTAAGTTTTTAACTCATAAGATGTTTAGAAATTGTAAATACATCGAACAAAAATCACACTTTAATATGACGACGTCTAACTTACGTTTTTACCCTACTTAAAATAAAAACAAATTTGACCTGCATCACTTTGATGTTCATGTCCTACCTATTTCTTAAATTACGAAAAAGTAAATAAAAGTGGAAAGTTTGACTTCTATTGCTCGTCCATCAATTTTAAAGTGACTTTGTTTTTGTATAGTAAAGTAGAAAGATTTTTGAACTCCATCACTATAATGTTAGTCTGTTTAGATCATGGCTAGTACGTATAAGTCAAACAAAGCAAATATTAGGAATAGGAAGAAAATTAAAAAAAAATAACAACTAGACCATCACTAAGTTAAACATACCTTTGGAGAAATTGAGGGTAAAAGTGGGTTGGTCAGCACCAAGATAATTGATATGGAAGATGAGTTCCTCAGGCAAATCCTCTTTGTTTCTCCAAACTACCCAACCAATCCCTGCGTACACAAGTCCATACTTGTGCCCACTCACATTTATACTCTTCACCAAAGGCAGTCTAAAGTCCCATTCCAATTCTGGATACAAAAACGGTGCTATGAACCCTCCACTTGCCGCATCCACATGGATTGGTGTGTCCCATCTTTCAAAACATTCATATATTAATTGTTTTGATTAGTGGAAGAGTTTAAAATATATTAACTAATATTCTTTACTCTGTAGTGTGTAACAATCCATAGGTATGAAAATTAGTTAACTTTACCCGGTTTCTTTGTTCTTTAGGACCAAGAGATCGTTCAAGAGTTTGACATCTTCAAATTCTCCATTAAGAGTGGAGCCAAGAATGGCCGCAACACATATAGTGTTCTCATCGACCATCTCAACAGCTTGCTCAGGGTTCATTACATAATATCCTTCGCTTAGTTTCACTTCCTTAAGCTCGACCTCAAAGTACCTAGCGAATTTCTCCCAACACACCTAAACATTTTGATTCATTGACATAAGAATTTTCTCAATGCAAAATTTTAATTATGATTATCAAACTCGAAGAATCGTTAATTACTTGAACATTGGCTCCTGTGACAATGTTGGGTTTATCGAAGGGTTTGCCTTCGGCCTTACGCTTGTTTTGCCATTTACGCTTAAATGCCAAACCGGCCAACATTATGGCCTCAGATGATCCAACGGTCCCTACTCCGACGGCTGTCTCCGTCTCTCCTAACGGTGCATTGAATAGATGTGCAATCATGTTCACACATCGGTTCTGTTTTTTTTTTTCAAATATTAAAACAATAATGATTAATTACTGAAAAGCAGCGTGGCTTATGACTTATTGACACCGAGATTGATGCTTAACTATAATACTCGTGGTGAATAGGCACCGTCACAGATCTTTAGAGTAAATTTAAAATAATGCACACCCAAAGGCCAAAGGGGTGGAGATTAACTAGTCATAGTAACTACAATTATTTTATTGTCCAGCATGAGAACGTGTAAATCTCTAAATAACTACGGTCAGCTATTTTTTTTTTGACAACACGGTCAGCTAATTGATGGAGAAAAATTACGATCATATTCTAATCTTAAAATAATACAGAATACTGAATTTGATCTACTATACCATACTATATTATACTCTTTATATTTTCAATTTATAATACGAGGAATCTAACCACTTGTTACATATAGTATACTTGAAAACCCAAGAATAAGTCTAACTTGAATGTTATATTTCTTTTCTTTTTATTTCAGTGATGGCCCGATCATTATATATCATTCAGTTCAATTTTTGTCCGAATAGCCGTATGAACACAATAATTGGTATTTGAGGGAATAAAGTAGTACCCATATTCCCACTAATTACTATAGTTTAGTCCAAATGAATCCAAAAGTAATAAACACGGCCATAGAAAAAGTCAAGATAGTGGTGACTTCGTGCCATGCGTTTATATAAGTAGAATCAATTATATAGCATCTTATTGATGATACAAACTAACAATAGTAACAACAATTAATATATAGGACCAACCAATATTAAAAAAAAACCTCAGAAGACAAGAATTAATAATAATGCATTTTAAGAAATAAGAGAAATTCTTTTGGATAACTTTTTTATTTTATTTTCATAAAAATAAATATTTATAAGGAAAATGACAAAAATATTTTTTTATTAAATACTAAATATGCAATTATATTTTTTGGTTAACTAATCTAAACTTAGGGTTTAAAGTTAAAAGGTTGGATTTTGAGTTTATGTTTCAAATGTTAAAAATAAAAATAAGTATTACAAAACTGAAAAAAAAATATTTTAGTCATTTTAATTTTTGAGATCTACTTTTGTGATAAAAACTTTTAAAAATGTTATATGAAAGAATTATCCTTAGAATAATCCTAATCAACAATGGTATTTAGACAGAAAAAAAGCAATCAAAACATATATACCACACATATCTCGCCCACATACTATCATAAGATCGTTTAAAAGAATGCTGATGATCTTGTAATCATTTCTCTCCATATATAAACCGATACATAATTATGTTTTAACCTGATTTTAAACTATCATAACATGTATAGTATATTATCTTTTTTTCTAAAAACATGTATATATGATCAAATACCTGGAGTTCGGTGGTGACGGGGTACTCATCCATGTCCACATAGTTCTTGTTAATGGAGGCCATGATGAGTTTATCGCATTCAGGCTCCATCCACGTGGTCACGAAGGAGGCCAAGTTTAGCCTTGGATTACCATCAAGCATCAACTCGTCATTAATGATCTGATACGCAGCTTCTTTTGGAATTGAGTTTTCCGGCATCTTGAACCTGATATTTTACGTTTTTGGCACACCATATATATATTACATACATATAACATGACCAAGATTGTTATATTGTTTAGTTGTATGTTACCTTGGAAGTGAAGTTCGGACGTATCGTGAAGCGAATGTGGAATGGACGGAGACGTCCGAATCCGATGCGGCGTGGGAGAGCACCATCACGGCGATGAGAGAGAGAATAGCACAAGATGACGATGAGACAGGGAGAATGAGATCGGGGAAAGTGATGAATGGGATTGGTGGAAATGGAGAAGCACCTAATGAAGGGTTTTATATCAATAATGAAATGATATTTCGAATGATAACCATATGGGTTATTTGTGTAATAATATATTTTGAACTGAACGAACTTTTGCAAGTTTCCTTCCTCGGAAATTTCTTCCAAGTGCCTATACTTTATTTAAAATTAGTAGAATAATGCCTCTAATTTCGTCTTTAGTTTTTTAAACCCAGTACAGTTTTAAGAAGTTTTGTTTGAAAACACGATTGTTTTTATTTTATTTCCATAATAAAGATTTCGATTTATAAACACGGTAAAAAAAAATTAATGCGTGGGATTCGGGGGAAAGATAAGCTTTGATTGAATTTATAAACGCAATTATTCTTAAATAAATATTCTCAGAAATCGCTTGGTTCATACAATTAGACTAAACGATGGTTACTTTTACATTATTAGAACGCGGAAGATAACGCGTATCGACCAATACGGTAAGGTTTCTTCCTAACTTTTTTCTTTTATGACAGGCATCGTAATGTAAAATATAGGCGTTAATGTATTATAATATCTCATCATTGATTTCAGAAGATCTTGCGTAGTGCCCCCAGTTGATGTTTGTATAATATATTTACCGATCAATTTATGATATATGATTACTATCAAACTAAGAATTGACTGTAAAGGGTGATGGCTATATAATTCGTTTCTCTATTATTGAGTCGGCCGAATGTCATCATTATATGAGTTACTAGTTTTTCATCATCGATCACAAAAGATCAAAGACTATATCAATTAAGTTTATCTTAGTTGGAGAATCTTATTACAGAATTCTTGTTTTCAGAATTTATTTATTTTTCTTTGATGTATTTTTAAATAATAAAAATAAAATAAGATCATATAAGAGTGTAATTGACAAAACAAAGAAACTAACTAAGAATAGTTTATTAAAATAAAAAACAAACTTTATTTAATGTCTCAAAAATAAATGTGTGATTAATATCACAGATTAGTTCAAAACTTCAGTAAAAAAAAAAAATGACGTCTTTGAAAATTTTAAAGTCAATGCAATGAAAATTGAAACTCAATCAAAAACCAGTCGACCTACGAAGGTCTAACAAATGGGTTTGTCAGACTTCTTCTTGACATTGATCTCTTTCGGCTTCTCAATATCACTTTTCTTCACAGTAACCACCATGTTGTCGCCGTTATCTTCACTCTTCACCTCTCCTAGTGAAATTTTGTGGATCACTCGAGATGGAAGCTCATCAAGCTCATGCATCACTTTCTCGATATCCATCACTAGTCTCTCTGCTAGTGTTCTTGAAAAATCTTCTCTAATAACCGCTCGAATAACAGTTATGTGCTCTGCGTTTGCTGGCATTGTATATGCCGGCACTATCCATCCATACCTACATCATAGTGAAAAGTAAATATATATTTACTTCTTTATCAATAAGGTCAAATAATGTATTTACTCAAATGTATCAATCCTTACGCAGTGATTCTAAATGAGAAAGAGTATTTGAGATTATTTGGAGAGAGCTAACCTGCGAAGCATCTCGGAGATTTCGAACTCAGTGTGAGAGCTGTTATCTTTCAAGGAGAAAGCAACAAGTGGAATTCCCTCGTCCTTTGATACGATGTTAAATCTTCCTGTCTTCTCAAGTCCTTCCCTTAACACGATCATGTTCTCTCTGCAATTCTCCATCACATTTCTGTAACCCTGTTTAATAATTTTTTCTTTATTTAGAAATGTATTATTTCTAATAAGCATGATATATTAAATCAATATTCGTGGCTCACCTCATGGCCCAATCGAATCAGCTGGTAGTATTGAGCGATGACTTGACTCGAACCTGTGTTTAATCATGAAAATAATATCAACAAAAATATATATACTAATAGAAACACTGAAGTGGTGATTTAAGAAAATTTAAGATATCAATATCAAAGTACGTTACTTTTGGAGAAGTTGAGTGTGAAAGTGGGTTGGTCAGCACCAAGGTAGTTGATATGGAAGATGAGTTCATCAGGCAAATCCTCTTTGTTTCTCCAAACCACCCAGCCAATCCCTGCGTACACAAGTCCATACTTGTGACCACTCACATTTATACTCTTCACCTGTGGAAGTCTAAAGTCCCATTCCAGTTCCGGATACAAAAATGGTGCTATGAATCCTCCACTTGCTGCATCCACATGGATCGGTATATCCAATCTATCAAAAACATGAATATATTAGGATTATTTATTGTATAGTGTGTAATAATCCCTTGATATAATATAGTTACCCAGTTTCTTTTTTCTTCAGGACCAAGAGATCGTTCAAGAGTTTGACATCTTCAAATTCTCCATTGAGAGTGGAACCAAGAATGGCCGCAACACATATAGTGTTCTCATCAACCATCTCAACAGCTTGCTCCGGGTCCATCACATAGTATCCTTCTCTTAGTTTCACTTCCTTAAGCTCTACCTCAAAATACCTAGCAAATTTCTCCCAGCACACCTAAACATTTTGATTCATTATTGTAAGAAATTTTGATCAAAACACACACAAAAATTAATTATGATTATTAAAATTGAATAATCATTAATTACTTGAACATTGGCTCCAGTGACAATGTTGGGTTTATCGAATGGTTTGCCTTCGGCTCTACGCTTGTTCTGCCACTTACGCTTAAAGGCTAAACCGGCCAACATTATGGCCTCCGATGATCCGACAGTACCTACTCCGACGGCCGTATCCGTCTCTCCCAACGGAGCGTTGAATAGATGTGCAACCATGTTCACACATCGGTTCTGTTTTTATCAATAGTACCAAAAAGATGGATTAGGGAAAAAGAACGTAGCATGTCACCATATAGTATTCTATAGTACTAACAAGTAACTAATGGTATATCAGAAACCTAAAAACAGCAATAAAAGTAGACCATGTAATACATTATATATATATCACAATATAATCCGATATATAAGTCTATTTAACCTCAATTTTGAAACGATTATGATTTCTATATATTGGTTAAAATAAAAACCTGGAGTTCGGTGGTCACAGGGTACTCGTCCATGTCGACGTAGTTCTTGTTAATTGAGGCCATGATGAGTTTATCACATTCAGGCTCCATCCACGTCGTCACGAAGGAGGCCAAGTTTAGCCTTGGATTACCGTCAAGCATCAACTCGTCATTAATGATCTGATACGCAGCTTCTTTTGGAATCGAGTTTTCCGGCATCCTGAACCTGATATTTTAGATTTTAAACCAACCATTATAATGGAGCTTACATACATATATCATGATCAAGATTTGTTATTATTGTTTAGCTATATGTTACCTTGGAAGTGAAGTTCGGACGTATCGTGACGCGAAAGTGGAGTGGACGGAGACGTCCGAATCCGAGGCTGCATGGGAGAGCACCATCACGACTTTGAGAGAGAGAGAGATCCCACGAGATGACAACAAGAGAGAAAGTAAGGTCAAGAGAAGTGGTGATGGAGTTTGGATGAAGAAGGGAAACACCTTCTATATATGGCTCGTTTATATCGACAAAAAGGTAAAAAGGAATTACTTGAGCAATAGTATATTGTCAAATAAATGCTTTTGGAAATGTTCCATTTTTGTTTTCTTTTTAGAAAGTTAAATTTCTTGCCTATACTATGTACCCTTTTGTGAAGTTTGATTAGAATCAGAACGGTCCTGGCACGTTGAAACCACATAGGAAACACGAATTCGTATCCTTCCTTTTTTGTTGATCAACGATTTCTTTAAAAATATATTTGGAAATAACGGTAAATATGCAGTGCGTGCTAAATAAGTAAAAGATTAATGGAATTTTCAGGAAAATTGCATTTATTTTTAAAAATTAAATGCCTTCTCATAAATGGCAAAATTTCTATCAACGTCTATAGTTTGTTTAAATTAGCGGAATATCTTGTTTTTCTTTATATAATTAACCAAACATTTATGTTTATTGCATTGTTATAACCTAGACGAAGATGCGTTTGGACCAGGCTCCAAGCCTCCAACCACGTAAAAGGTGTGGTTTCTGTTTTCTATAGGTGGTAAAAGAAAAAATACAAAGCATGGTTAAATGAGATGATGTTCTGTGAGATTTTAATCCACCTGTTTTCACAGTTACAAACTATTTGGTTCTTTTTCTTTCAAATAATGTTTTGAGTGAGAGAAGACTATTAATTCTCCGATGATTCTCTAATGTATCATATTCATACGGTTTAACGTTTTTGGTTGGTTAAAGAATATTGTAATAAATTCTAAGGGAGGCCCCTATATAAACAATGCTATGTTGTCAGTTCGCATGTTTGTTTATGATATTGTTCCAAGTTTTTAATTAAGCTGTTATTGCTTAATTAGTTTCTATGTCCACAAAAATCATTTAAGTAGTTGTTACATGACATTTCATCAGTTAACAACGAAGCTTAACTCTTACGTTTGTATATGACATATCAACATCAAAATATCTTTTCTCGTACGTGAAAACTGCACCATCGGAAATGGATAGCTAAGCTTACCTGGAAGACGTGGTACTCGTTTTTTCCACTTTCATATGAATAAATTTAATTTAGTTTGTAATAATAATAATGATGATAATAAAAAAATACTGGACAAGGGTGTTCCATATGATTTTTTTGGTTCCGTACAGATTTGAGTTAATTCAAAAACCGGTTTATTTTCCGGTTTAGATTTCACAAATTTGAAAGAAAATAAATTAGAAATTTAAAAGTCTCAATCCATTTTGTACTGTAGTTCTATTTAAATTCAGATTCCATCATAAAAAAAAAGAAATTTTACGAGCTTTTTTGAAAATAGGGAAAAATACAACTACAATATGTAATTAGATGAGCTACATTGAACCGATTTGATTGGTTCAATCACTTAAACCGACCGGTTAAGTAAAAACCACACACCCAATGAGGTGTGGGGAGAGTTACTGTTTTTACAAAAGGCAAAGAGAAAACAACGGACGATTCTTCAATCGTTACCACTCCTTTCACTATAAATACCCCTCCCCTTTGATTCCACAACACTCCTTCAAATCTTCAATCTCCAACCTCTCTCTCTAGATCGGAATCTCGCCTCAGAAAATCAAACCATGGCCTCCGCCGCGATCGAGAAGCTCCCTCACCTCAAATCCGCCACCGATGGACTCAACGAGATGAGGTTTCACAACTCTCTCATTTCCCTTGGATCTTGTTATTAGACTCTCTAATCTGTTTTCACTCCTTTTGTTTCAGTGATAACGAGAGGAGCGGATTCATCAACCTCGTCTCTCGCTACCTTAGGTTCGTCCTTTCTGATTTGAATGATTTAAAACAGTTACTCTGAAACGAGTAATGTTTGTATAGTTTCTAATATCGGATTCTAAGGAACAGATCTAGAAACTTATTGAATGTTTTTTACATATGAGTTTCTAAATTCTATCACGTGTGTGGATTTTTGAAGCGGTGAGGCACAGCACATTGAGTGGAGCAAGATCCAGACTCCTACTGATGAGATTGTTGTTCCTTATGATAAAATGGATAACGTCTCTGAAGGTATTTCTCTCTTTTTGGAATGATACAACAAATCTGTATTGGAGTTTGTTTTCTTTATGATGCATATACGAATAAGTTTTTTTTTTTTTTTTTGTTATGATTTGCAACGTAATGAAGATGCTTCCGAGACTAAGTATCTGTTGGACAAGCTTGTTGTGTTAAAGCTTAATGGAGGTTTGGGAACGACTATGGGATGCACTGGTCCAAAGTAAGCTTCACTTGTCAGTTTTTTAGTTTGATTTTGGATTATCCTTGGCTTGAGTAGTGGATCTAGTTTGTTTGAGATAGTAAAGTTGATGATTGAAGATCTGTTTACTATGTATTCCTTGATCTATTGGATCTATTGCCATCGCTAGTGGACTTAAAAGTGTGAATATGTAGCTAGGAAACAATTCACTGTTAGATTTTGATAGTAGCAGGGATATATGGTAGTTGTCTCAACTTCAGGGGTAAACACGTTCATTGTAGCATATTTGCAGTCTATTTTTATAGCTTTTGGGTATTGTGTAATCCATCTTTAGTTTCATGGAAATCTTCCTGAGGTTACTGTGTTTAGTCCTTACCTGATGTGTTATGCGACATTTTCTTTCTTCGAGCAATAGGTTTCATTTTTTTTTCCTGTTTCTGTGCAGATCGGTTATCGAAGTTCGTGATGGATTGACTTTTCTTGACCTGATTGTTATCCAGATCGAGGTTTGTCATTTTTTCGTCCTTTTGTTTCTAATTTTAATGCCTTTGAGTAACCTCATTTATCGCTTTCCCACAGAATCTCAACAACAAGTATGGATGCAAGGTTCCTTTGGTTCTCATGAACTCATTCAATACACATGATGACACACAAAAGGTGCTTCTTTTACACCGAGGATCACTTCTCTTTGTTTATCTGATACTTGTAGGCTGACTTCTTTTGGTCTCTTTTCAGATTGTTGAGAAGTACACCAACTCAAATGTTGATATTCACACTTTTAATCAGGTACTTTATGTCAATGCCAAGAAACTAAAACTTCATTTACTTGAACGATCTAGGTCAACTGTGGAACTAACAATGTTGACTTTAATTGTGTAGAGCAAGTATCCTCGTGTTGTTGCTGATGAGTTTGTGCCGTGGCCTAGCAAAGGAAAGACTGACAAGGATGGCTGGTATGTTTTGTTTTGGTAGACTAGTAAACTTATACATTTGTTTTACTGCCTTTTGCATTTTGGTTTCTTCTTATCACGCAAAACTTACAAAAAGTTCTGGGGTCTAGTCTATAGTGGCATGCTTACAATCTTGATGAGACTCATTTGAGCTTGTCAATCAAATACGGCAACCCTGATGGAGTTTTTCCCTATATATTGCATATGCATCTGCATGTGAATATCCTTCTCTATTTCTGTCACCACTTATAAAAGGTGTTCTTGTGAAGGTATCCTCCCGGTCACGGTGATGTGTTCCCATCCCTCATGAACAGTGGCAAGCTTGATGCTTTCATATCACAGGTTATTTCTCTGATGTTGTATATTATTATTTGTCTCCTGAATTGATCCTTGATACGTTTGTGACTTTCAGCATTTGCCAATTTTAATTCCGCGTTTCTCACTATTCAGGGTAAGGAGTATGTGTTCGTTGCCAACTCGGACAACTTGGGCGCTGTCGTTGACTTAAGTAATTTCTTCTTCTTGGTTTCTTCCTATATTGATTTTGCTTAGTTGCAGTCTTGAAGATAACATTCAATCAGAGAGTAATTTTTTGCTGTCATTTACTCTGTGTTATTTCAGAAATCTTGAAGCACCTGATCCAAAACAAAAATGAGTATTGTATGGAGGTGACACCCAAAACCCTAGCTGATGTAAAAGGAGGAACTCTCATCTCCTACGAAGGAAAAGTACAGGTAGATGTCATTTCCTGTTTAGATGTAGCTATTTGGCTGCAAGATTATTGGAAATTTACTAATCAAACTTGGTGGTAGTACCTACTGAACATTGTCTGTGCATTCTGCAATATCTCTCCTTATTATTGCGCATGCCACCTTCAAATCATAGGTGTATCCAGGCTCATAGTTAAATAATATGTGGAGATATATGTCGTTGTCTTCTTTGCAACTCATGATTCTGACGCTTTTGATTATTCTTCTGTTACTGGAGAGTATAATAGTCCTACTGATCTCTAAATTTTATTTTTTTCCGATGTGTAACTCAGCTTCTGGAGATTGCTCAGGTACCTGATGAGCATGTAAGTCAACACCTCCTCTGTTTTCCTTCTAGTTTCTATTTATATTTCTCCATCTGTTTTGATGATATACATTTCCTTTTTGCGAGAGCTTCCTTGAGATTCTTGTAAGAATTAGACACTATAGCGTTCATTAGCTTCCTTTACTTGTTCCATTTTTCGCTCATAACATATAAAAAGTTGCTGCTGCTTTGAGCATGAAACGAAATTGCTTATCTCTGGTTATAACGGTGACTAAGAATCACATTACTCGTGTTTTTTGGTAGGTAAATGAATTCAAATCAATTGAGAAATTCAAGATTTTCAACACAAACAACCTGTAAGCAATCTATCTGGTCCCCAAAACCATGGAAGATAATAGTTCTATTTTTGGAGACTTAACTGTTTAGTTTTTTAACAGTTGGGTTAACTTGAAAGCCATCAAAAAGCTTGTGGAAGCTGATGCGCTTAAAATGGAGATCATCCCCAACCCGAAGGTACTAATTTTACAAAAATTAGGTGCTTCGCTGTTAGGCTATTGCAATTTTGCATGATTTGTCTTAATCTCTTCTCAGGAAGTCGATGGAGTCAAAGTTCTTCAACTCGAAACTGCAGCTGGTGCCGCCATAAGGGTATTCATTTTGTTCTAAATTTCAATAACGCAGTTTTTAGAGAAACACAACCGTAATCTTCTTCTAATGCTACCATAACAGTTTTTTGAAAATGCAATCGGTGTGAATGTACCTCGGTCAAGGTTCTTACCAGTAAAGGCAACTTCAGACTTGCTTCTTGTTCAAGTAAGCCAAACCATTACAAAGTTCCAAATATCACTTGAACAAGCAGTAGAGAGAGTTAATAATTCTTAAATCATCTTTTTCAGTCTGATCTGTACACTCTCGTGGATGGCTTTGTCACACGGAATAAAGCTAGAACAAACCCCACAAACCCAGCGATTGAATTGGGACCCGAGTTCAAAAAGGTAAAAGAACGCTCTTCCCCTATATATGCTCTCTGTACAGAGTATAACACTCTTATACAATGTAACTGACTTTGTATGGTTTGGTTAATAAAACAGGTGGCGAGCTTCCTTAGCCGGTTCAAGTCCATCCCGAGTATCGTTGAGCTGGATAGCCTTAAGGTCTCTGGTGATGTCTGGTTTGGCTCAGGCGTTGTTCTCAAGGGCAAAGTGTCAGTGAAGGCAAGCTCCGGGACAAAACTTGAAATCCCCGATAAAGCCGTGGTCGAGAATAAGGTAACGTTTATATTCCCTGGGAGGATACTGTAAGAATTATATCACAAGACTCAACTTGTGTGCTTGTTGTTCTTACAGGACATCAACGGCCCAGAGGATCTGTGAAGAAATTTAAAGAACCGTGATGCATCTTCTGTCTTCCTCTTGTTGTAATACATCCAAGGCACTTTTGATGAAACTTTTTTCAAGGTAAAAGATCACAAGAATAACACTACAAGTATGTTTTTCATTTTCTTTTTGTTGCTTTAATCCTCTCAAAGTACGTTTTCAAATTTACTGTTTACTTCCCTTCCCTATATGAGTTTTTTTATTATTATTGTTGGGATACTCTTCTAAGATTTTAGTGAAAACATCAATTAAAATCATCTCATTATTTTCTCGAGAACCACATGTGATAGCATTTTGTAATTCTTCAACTTCTCCACAATATTGCGCCAGTTGTAAGCAAATTGTTTCCTACTCTTACTTTGACCACTTTTACCAACTCGAATCCAAAGTGAAGGACAGGTAATCATAAAACACAAAGATAATACCACACATTATCTACACACCACACATCTTTCAGTCTCTTATCTTTGTTTAGAAACATTCACATTGATTGCAACAAAAAGTCAGAGGCCTTTATATGAAAAGAATATCTGGTTCTTCCTTTTTATCACGTTTGGCTAAAGCGGCAAGCAAAAAAAAAAGATGTTGGTGAAAATGAACATGAACCACATAACTTAAATGAATGATATCGCAAAAGATAAAATGTATGGTGGTGGAGAAAAGGAAAAATATAGCAAATTTGTAACGTGTCACTTAACACTATCCAGTAAGATAAATCAGTGCCTAACTTCTAATACCACCACCAAGCCTAACAAATCATCAGTGACTGCTAAGTCACAACTGGCTGCTGATTCTTTTATAAAATAGCAATAAATCGGTAATAAGAAGAAAAGAAAAAAAATGGCGAGTGACCTAGAACAGTTGGCTAAATGTAAGAATTAGTGACATGGACAAAAGTGAACTCCAATACTATATTTTAAACTAAAGTGTATGATTTACATACAATATCTTATTTGCTCTTATCCTTCTTTTTTTTCTCTTGCTCTTATCCTATATGCTGAACAATGACTTAAAAAAATATCTTGCAGATTTAAGAGATTGATTGCGACCTGGACAATGGATAAACATATTAATATGGAAAGAGCTGAAAATAATTGTAGATATGATGGCTACGTATAGTGTAATATATGATGGCTTTCGTAATGGAGCGACCTACACCATGTATTATTAAAGAAATGGAGATATTTAGCTAGTGGCTCAGATTTCTCCGTCCAGCAAAATCCTCATATTTCCAGATATTTTCCATTTATTCTTTCATACAAAAAAAATATTAGCGAGAAAGCACACGAGCGACGCGTGTCAAATGGATGGGGTATTTGAAGGACAGCCACAAGATTTCATCTGTTTCTCGAGCGTTTCCATAAAATATTGGGGAAAAAAGGCAACTTTTTTTTTTTGAAAAAGCGCACATAGAAGAAGCTGACGTGGAATCCTTTCCTTTTTATCTTGCTATTTTTCTCACCCCTTCCTCCCTCCTCCACAGACCCCAAAACATTTTTTCTTTGTTCTCTCTGCTTTCTTCATTTGCTCTTTCTTTCTTCCGGCGAAACAAGACCGTCTCAAAGCTTGTTCTGGTTTTTTTACTCAGGCGAACTATGAAGTTGCCTCCGTTGACTGAAAATGCTCAGGTGTGAACTCAAAATCTTGCTCTGTTTAATTTTCTTATTTTCTTCTTAGCTAATCAATCTATGAGCTTAGAGAAGAAAGACAAAAACCTAAGAGTTGAGTTTTTTTTTTACAACTTCAAGTTAAAGTCAAGCATGTTCATTCTTTTGTTTCCTTGGAGCTATACACTTCATAGTAAAAAAAAAAAATTCCTCAAAGTCTAGTCTGTGTGTAGATATACAAGCCAATTGTGTTTTGTGTTAATGTAATTAGAATCTCTGAATACACTTGAAACCGTTGGATTTTTGTAAATGATACAATACCACTTTTGGTAAATGAGCTAATTATAAATTAGGTTTTTGCTAATAGTTCCCTTGTCTTGGTGTTTGTTGGTTTCAGGGTGCCAAAGCTCTTAGCGTTGAAGAAACTGCAGATACACAGATACAATTTAATGACTATTCACCCAAGGTTTTGCTTCTTTTGACATTCTAATGGTGTCAGTATTGTTATGTAAAAGTGAAGATTTTGGCTCAGTTTAGTCTTTTTATTTTAGGTACGGAAACAATACATTATAACAAAAGAAAGAGAGAGATGGACAGATGAAGAACACTATAAGTTTGTTGAAGCCTTGAAATTACATGGACGAGCATGGAGACGGATACAAGGTAATAAAATTGAATGATGTAGCACTTTATACTTAGCTATGTATGGTCTTTACATACCTTAACAATCAAAATCATTAACAGAACATGTGGGCACAAAGACTGCTGTTCAGATTCGAAGCCATGCTCAGAAGTTCTTCTCTAAGGTCTATATCCTTGTTCATAGAAAGTACCAAAAACTGCTTAAACATATCATTGTTAATACATTCTTTGGAGACTTATGTGTGTTCTGACTTGGCTTATTCTGTTGTGTTTTTACACAGGTTGCTAGAGGAAGTAATGTGAGCTCGTTGGAGCCAATTGTGATACCACCTCCTCGTCCCAAGAGAAAACCAATGCATCCTTACCCGCGTAAGCTGATGAACGAGGTAGATCAAACAAATAGATCGGTTTCTCCTTCAGAGCGTGACAATGGATCACCAACCTCTGTGTTGTCCCCTGTTGGATCAGAAGCATTGAGTTACTCAGCTTCACATTCACCTAATCGAAGCTTGTCCCCTGTTTCCTCTGCATCACCTCCTGCTGCTTTTGCAACTAGTACAAATGCACCTGAAGAGCTTGAGACTCTGGTAGGTGACAGAAAAAGCATCTGCAAGTATATACACCTTTAGAGGCTTAGTTTCTAATGTTGTTTGTTTGATTCATTTGTACAGAAGCTGGAGTTGTTTCCTACAGAAAGCTCGGTCAAGGAGCCAACAAAGAAAAGCCTTAAACTCTTTGGTAAGATAGTTTTGGTATCTGAATCAGATATGTCCTCTTCTCTTACAACTTCAACAAGTAAGTCACCGATTCAGCCATTACCACGGAAACTCTCCATGATAATAAATCCACAAGAAGAACTCTTGAGCTGTTGGATACAAGTCCCTTGTAAGCATGAAGAAGTGGAAAACAGATGCTTGGATTCAGAAAAGTCCTTCCAAAATGAAGGATCATCGACTGGATCAAACACCGGTTCGGTTGATGATACAGGACACACGGACAAGAGCTCAGAACCTGAAACAATGATATTTAAACCTAGCGAGAGGTCTGCATTTTCCGAGCTCAGAAGAGGAAACTCTTCAAGAGGATTTGGTCCGTACAAGAAGAGAAAGATGGTTATAGAATCAGAACAAGATATTCGACTGTACTTATAACTAGGATATTTTCTCAGGTACCAAAGTCGTTAAATTCAGTAATCATTCAACTTATCTTAATGTTCATCAAGGTGTTTTTATTTGTTGTTTCATAGTTTTCTTGGAGCTGTTTGTTGTTTAGGCTAACTTTTTTGCATAATCTTGTATCTGTAAAAACACTTGTAATATTTTTTAATGATCTAATGAGTATGAAGAACTTCCTAATATATGGAATAAGAATCTAATGATATGATCTCACAATCGTCTTTGTCACAAACAATAAAAATTATAAATGTTACAAAAACTCAGGAACCAGGGACTAACCTATACATAGGTGGCAAGTCTTCTTCTTCTTTCATGTTTTTGTATTTGTAGTCTCTTCACTTTTCCGCATAACATCTCTTACCTCCTCAAGGCAGTTTTCAAGCTCGTCCAGTTCTTTACTATCTGAGAAGCTCACCGTGGCCTACACACACACAGAAAATAATTTTTGAAGCCAAACCAAGGTTAGATCAACATCAGCAGCAGCATCAACCTTACGTAAACACGAGTTCAAATGTAAGTGGTAACTCAAGTTTTGACGTTTGTTCGGATCTTGAAATTAGTTCAAGTACACATCAAGTTCTACCTTATAATAACGTTACCGAGACCCAACCAAGATTTGGAAACTCAAACGCAATCACTGATCATGAGGGCTGGTCACAATACTTGTCACAAGAGATGCCTACAGGCTTTTCAAATTACGGATCTCCATACCTTACTCATCCAAAGGTAACTTTGTGTGGTTAATACAATCCTAGAGTTTATTACACTGAATGATCAATTCCCCATCTAAATATGTTGTATGTATAGGTGAATACAGAAATTGAATGTGGGATGTTGCAGCATCATATGTCACTGCCACCATTGCAAGTCCGAAAACTCGCCGGTTCAAACCAGTGATTTTTCCACTGGAATGAATCAAAACAAATGCGGTTTCAACGACTTTACTTTCGTTGCAAGTAATTCCAACCAGCTCTATAACAACAATTTTGATGATCATTTAATACACACTGGAAGTCCCGATGAACAATTGCTCAATGCTGGAAACACAACTTGGATGAGAATGTCTAACGAGAATCTGAAACAGGTGATTAACAAGCAATAACATCATATCTCATTAATGTGAATTCGTCATATATATTTTCTGCTCTAAAGTCTAAACCCAAGCATATATCGTCTCTCTAACATAGGCATTGATCTAAATCAAAAGAGTTTGATAGAAGAGGAAGAGATTTTGCCAAGTATCGAGGATAGTGATCAAGATCTTGAATTTTTTGGTGGGTATGATATAAAAATCTCCAATCAGTACATAACAGTCTATATATATAAAGTGTTTAGTGAATCATATGGAGTGTTTGTTATATATTACAGGCAAATCTCAGACCAATACACTCATCAACATAGACATTGATGATTTATTCTCACTTGAAAACAAGTTGAAGACACATACAAGACATCAACCAAAGAAGACACAAGAGTAGAGCATAAAATGCTCATTTGTACACGTCAAACAACTGAAGTTTTATATTATCAAGTCGTACCATCACAGATTTTGAAAATTCAGATAAATCCGGTTCAAGGATTTGAAGAGAGAACAATGTTGATTGAGGATGAAGACAAATATTCTTGGTTCATGAAGGTTGAAAGTGTTGCCAAGATGAAATTCAAGCAAATTAGTTTGGTCGCAAAACGTTATTACAAAATTCTTACAATTATTTTATGATTTATACTCATACCTATTGTGGTATACCCTTTTTAAAAGAGGAAATAATATGCATTTATACTATTAACTAGAGGTGTGCATTTCAGTTTAATTCTGGATTCAGTTTGGTTTATTGAATTTAAGAAAATTGAAACCAAAATCAACCCAAATTAGTTTGGTCTGTATTCGGTTTGGTTCGGTTTTAGTGCGGTTTAGTTTGTGTTTGGTTTAGGTTTGATTTGTGTTTGTATTGGTCTAATTTGTTTTGTTTGTGTCTGTTCAGTTCAGTCGAGTTGATTTCTTTTAGGTTTGTTCTAGTTCGGTTACAAAATTTAATTTATAAAAACATAAATATATCATCCTTTGACACTAAATCATTATTTTCTTCGTAATTAAACGTTAAGTCAAACATCAAAGTGAAAAAGTAGATGATGTAATCCTATAATTTTCTATTATTATCTTCAAATCTAATATAAATATCATAGGTAATTTGTTCGATTTTGATGTTAATGAATGAGATTTATATTCTTTTATTTATTTTCGTTATGTTTCTTCTATTAATTAGAAGTAAAATGTATACAATTTTTTTAGTAGTCTAAGTTAAATAGTTAATTATCTTAAATTTTAATATAATTAGTATATTTAGTTAATCTAGTTTTTCAATTTTGCGTGAATCGGTTTAAAACCGAACAAAAACATATCATTTGGGTTGATAAAAACTTTTGTCCATATGATTTAAGCATATACTTTGGTTTGGATTGTTTTGGTTTGGTTCGTGTTTTCTTTTGCCAACACCTGCTATTGACCCATTGTATTCCATATGTAAATTGAGTTCATTCTATGAGATATTATTGGTGGAGACAAAACTTGGTTGGTATGCATAATTATATTGTTATCAAATTGTTGAAGACTGAACAGGCTCAAAATTTTTGAACATTATAATCTATTTAGTTGTTTGTGAGTTTTCTCATAGACTTTTTGATTACTAGAAATTTTATTTTCCAAGAAATATATAAAAAAAGAAACAAGTTTGATCAGAAATTTAAAAGTACTTGCCGCTTACTGAAGGCCCACAAAGTATGAGGCCCAATTAACAATTTACACAAAATAACAGAGTACGTGAAAAACACGCGGGCTGTTAGGGTTTTATGGTAACAGCCTCATCTGATTGGTACCTATAAAACCCTTTGTCTAAACCTCAATCTCAATAAACTCAGCCGTTGAGTTCTCTCTTACATCCTTTCTCTGTGCTTTTGAATTTTTACTTAAATTATATTTTTGGTCAATTTTGCTTGTTCGCGTCACTTTAACTGATTACCACCGTTCTTGTTCATGTTCGTTGTGTATGAGTTGACGCCATAGTAGTTCCCTATTTCTGCTATTCGTCTCGTCTTTATACGAAAAACCTTAGTGTTTTTCAATCATTACGAGTTTGCAGTTTGGGGGAAATCTTATATGATTATGTTTTCGTAGCTTAAGTTCCGGAATTGTATTGCCTGAATGTAGTTTTCCTACACTGTTTTTTTATTAGGTTTATAGAGAGAACAAAAAAGTGGAGAATTTGGAGGTGATGACAATTTCCCCAGATGATCGAATTTGATTATACTGAGCGAATAGAATTTTCTTTCATCAGAGAGGAAGTCAAGCCAATTTCTCTGATCCTTCTCCTTTTTATTTGTTTAATTCACATTAGACTTATGTAATCATTTTACTTAGAATGGAGTTTGAATCTTATGGAGATTTGGAATTGATGACAATTTCCCCAGATGATCGAATTTGATTATACCGAGCGATTTTATTTCCTCTCATCAGAGGAAATCAAGCCTATTTTCTGATCCTTTCTCATTTGAGTATTATTTTTTTCTAAAACTTTGATTTGTTTCTCGAGTTTTTATTGATAATTTGCCGTTAATTGGATTTATCTGTTATGTTTTTGTAATGGTGGTAATGGAGTTATGGAATTGATGACAATTTCCCCAAATGATCGAATCTGATTATACTGAGCGATTTTATGTTTCCTCTCATCAGAGGAAATCAAGCCTATGTTCTGATCCTTTCTCCTGCATTTTTATATTAAGCTACTGGTTTTGTATTCGTAAATAGTTTTTTGATGTTAATTGACATATTGTTTAGAGTTGATTACTAAGGTTTCTTGTTTTGTTTTAATAACAAAAGCTTATAAGTGTTCCATTAGCTTATAGGTATGAATCAAGATGGACCTCTTTCGAGAAAGAACATGACTGCAGGCTGTGTACTTTTCATATGTTTGAAGATGAACATGTGAGTCTCATGATGATAAAGAACATCACGCCTAAGAGTCAAAACGTTTTGCTTTTGATTGGTCCTCTGCTCTTTTTGGCTTCTCTTGTTTATTTGGTTGGAATGTTATGTTAATTAAACATATCATATTGGCCGTAGCTGCAAACTGAATCCGGTTTGTGTAAGTTGATGAGGAAGCATAAACTAGTTCGTTGGTTTAAATTCTTCTGAACCAGGTCTCATCGGGTAGACTTGTATCTTGTTCAATAAGATGTGTCACCATTGGTATTGCATGTACAACAAGGTCAACAAGAAAATTGTTTCTCTCAGCTCTCGCTTACTCTGGTCAGGAGACCTTGACAAGCCCAGTATTGCAAAAATCTCTTGGTCTCAGTTCTCTGCCTCCGTTCATTTGCCGCTTGTTCTCATGCAAAAGGTTTCTGAAACTAAGACCAACTGAAATTTGTGTAGAGATGTGCTTGGAAACGGCTGTAATATACGGTTCTGGTTTGACATTTGGACACCTTTTGGAAAACTAATTGGGATGAGCTTCTGTCCTGGTTGTGATCTTCTGTACCAGCAAGACAATTCTCCGTAAGATAACGACGCAAGCCAGTATTTCACATATGGAAGCAGAGAAATAACCTGGTGCACAACCAGACGTCCGTTTCTCCTATGATATTGCAGTTTAGCAACAAAAAAAAAAACAAGTTTAACATGAACGCGTTGCATGTCTACTAACTACCCTCTTTATTAAGCTGATATCGAAATAAAAATAATTACTATGCCTTGATTTTCAAAAAGACACTTCGTTCGGTTTGCCATCTGAACGTATATACTTCATGCCGTTTTAGACCTGTCGTTAGAATCAATATTTTCTGTCTTGCAAACTCATTTGTACGCATCACCTCTCCACCCATTACAAATTGTGTTTCTTCTCGATTTATTGAAAAGATTTTTGAAGACTGTTGTTGCAACCTTTGCGCTTGAGACTATGTCCACACGGATTCATAAATGTAGGCTCGATAGCTTTGATATGCTCATTAGGAGAAGTTGAGAAATGTTGCAAAGAATTTAGGAACTTAAAAGAAAATCAAAGCTTTTAATAAATAAATAGGAGAAAGGCACGAAACTGATTTTTACAAATTCTTTTGTTTTTATATTTTCACTAAATTGTTAAACATATGCCAAATATCAAATTTTGATTCGTTAAATGATGGGATTTAGAAAAAGAATTTAGGAATTGCAGATATCTAAAAGCAAGTAAAAATAAATTTATGGCGTTTTAGAAATATTATCAGTTGAAAAAATCGTGAGATGATGAATGTAGTGTGAGAAAAATTAAGAACTTTTTATTTATAATTTTTATTAAAATATATAGGAGAAGGGATGGAAATTATTTGTGAATTTAATTAAATTTATTTGTTTTTAAATTTTTCATTAAGACATATACCACATGTCAAAATTTGATTTGTTAAATGACTTGTTATTTAGTAAAAAAAAGAAGAGATTTTCTGAAAAAATACAAATGTGATTGTCAACCACTTCCTAATAGTAATTTTGTTTTTTATTTTTCTCTTTTCTATTTCAATTTTTGTAAATAGTAAGCTGTTTTAATTTGTATTTTGTAAGACTAAACCATCTCTACCATAATAATTTTTCTATCGAAGATTTATCAATGCAAATGACATGGGTTAAAACTAGTTAATGTTATTTTTTTTTGCTAAAAATGCCAATATCGTATTGTTCATGTTTTATAATGTGTGTTCTTACTCTACCTTGGCAAAACAAGATAAATAAACAAGATACAGCAAAGAGCTTTAAAACCCTCAAAAATTAGATAATTCAACTTGAAACGAGGGAAATAAATTACTCTAGAGCTGAGAAACTACTTTGTAACTTCTATACTAGATGAAATTCAAAGTCAATTCTAAAATTTTATGTTATTTTTTCAGCTGCACAATGAGTGCACACAGCTTATGAGAATCATATAACTACTACTCAGGAACCAACTGTCGTGACTCACTCATGATGTGGGACTTTCACGAGTACAAAGAACTTGAACCTTCTCATATGTTGTCTTGATAGGAAATACATTAATATTATCTTCTTCTTCATGTTTTTTTGATCTGTCACAGCTGACCCCAAAGTTTACGTGGACGAGGCTTGGAAACTTATAAAGCCAACTCTCACAAGCATGTTACATGAATTGAATCTAGACCGTTTTAGTTTCGCTGAGATTAACATTGTAATGAATCTTCTTGTTGTTTCCTTACTTTGATTATGATTAATTTCTTAACAATAGCTATTGTTGCACAGGTTGTTAGTAGGACATGGTGGTTTAAGGAGTCAGGAGAAGCTCTAACCAACCTGATCCTAGAGGAGTGTGGGGAATATATTTCCACAACCTTGCAGTCTTTGGCAGTGCATTGCAATGATGATGATCCATCTCTCCTCTTGCTTCTCTTGGAGAAATCTTGGCTGGAGTTTCCTAAGAAATTACAGTTTATCTGTGATATTGCTGGAGCTGGTACTGGAATAAAATTGTGGGATTTGGGTCTTCAGCTTTTCCCCCAAAAGCTCTTTTTGGCCTCTCAACTTCGTGACAAGGTTCATACCATCATTCTACTTCTCATTACAGATCAAAGGTAACTTCAATTCCCTATTGTCTAATTTCATGTGCTTTTTTTTAGTTGTTTGGATATACTAACTGACTTCATAACTTTTTTTTTCTTCCCTTCATATTAGGCAAGTCTATTGACATGAGTCAGCTAGAGAATCTTACTAATATGTTTAATGGGTCGATTTTCCGCCGATCGCGCTTCTTGGAGAAGCCTTTTCTTGACTCCACTGCTGAGTTTTACGCCGCAGAAGCAAAACAAGTACTGGAACAGTCTCCTGACCTTCCCCAGTGTTTGAAATATGTCCATGTAACCATTTCTTCTCTTTCTACATATGTATACGTTGTTGTGTGAATGTATTTTCCCCTGACCTTGTTTTCTATTTTTTTGCAGCAAAGAGTTGGCGAGGAGAAGAAAAAATGTAGAAGCCTCCCCCTTTTCTTTATATTCCAGGATGAGCTGCTTGAAGTTGTCTACAGGGAACTCTTGGGGGTTCATGCTCGTGCCATTCTTGAAAAGGTTCTTTTCTCTCTAATGTGGGTTTTGTTCTGTGAGCAAAAGTTGTCTAAGTACATGTGGTGGTTGCAGGGTTTCGAAAAGCTATTGGATGAGAGATTCCAGGAGGACCTTTCTAGGATGTATAAACTCTTCTCCGAGGCAGATTTAGTGGGTCATATCAACGATGAACTGAGCTCCTACATTTCTAAAACTGGAGAGAAGATTCTAAAGGAAGGCTCAACCCTGACTGAGTTCTAGGCTCACATTGATAAGATATGTTATAGTTACTTTCTCGAAGATCCTTTGTTGGAGAAGACTGTCCAAAAGTGTTTTGAAGGTCTTGGAATGTCTGTCCTTTCTCCTATTCTGGATGATGAGGAGACGTTAGAATTAGGAAGCTCAGGGCCTTTTCCGACAAGTCACCGGTGCTTTTAACAAGGGTGTTTATTATGTCTCTCACTCTTTATTAGTCGCATTAAGCTATGTCAGCTGCTACAAATGATTTAATTATGTTGCTTTTGCTTATATATTGTGGTTGCTACGATTGAATTTAGGCCATGTTGCTTTTGGATGTTTCTTTATTATTATTATTATGAATTGTTCTCCCCCTCTTAACTCTAATAAGATCACCTCTTGTATAACCCAACCAAGATTTGGAAACACAAGCGCAATTGGTGATCGCGATGACTGGTCATAAGACATGCCTAGGCTTTTCAAATTATTACGCATCTTCTTATGGACACAAATACCTCACTCAATCAAAGGTAACGTTCTTTATATCTATATAAGTGAATACAGAAATTGAGTGTGTGATGTTTCAACATCACATGCCATTGCCACCATTGCCAGTAAAAAACTCGCCGGTTTAAACCAGTGAAACTCCAATTGGATGAATCAAAACAGCAGTCAGTGTGGTTTCAACGAATTTACTCTACTTTCATTGCAACTCCAACCAGCTCAATAACAACAACGTTGATGATCATTTAATACACATTGGAAGTTTCCCATTGTAGACATTGGGTCATGTGGATCTTCAGATCGTGTAGACCAGTGGGTCGTGTTAACCTTCGAGTCATGTGAAACTTTGGGTCGTGTGAACTTTCGGATCGTACTGACCAGTGGGTCGCATGGACCTTGGAGTCCAAAATGTACAAGTGGCTAGATATCAAGAAAATGGTTGGGTGATAAAACATGGAATGCTAAGTTGATAGTATGGAATGGTTGTTTGTTGTAGTGCTGTCGGACTGATATTGTTATCTTCATTGAGTTAGTTCATACTCGCACCTCTTTTATAATGCATATGAAAACTAGTTTCTGGATCACGAGACTACAATGTTGAGGTACTTTTTGTAGAAGATTTAATTAAAAATAAAATTAATGATCCTACCTTTCAGATTTTCTGGTATTTGGTCTTGAATTGTTGTAAATAAGATTTCTAACATTTCTTCTAGATTCCTTTATGTTTCTACTTGATGGAAATGTTTATTCGATCTTTTAATTAAAATTTCACCGCTTTTAAGATTTTCGGATTAAAATGTTTTGAATAGAAAATAGAAGTTTTTAGAGACTGCGAGATGTAAAACAAATGCTTCTTTAGCTTTGATAACATTTTGGCTTCTACAGTATGCAATCAGCACTAACTCGTGTAAAACGTTCAAAAGAGACCATTAGACCTGAAGAAAATGACATATTTCAAAAGCAAACCACTGGTATAAACGGGCACTAAGAAATTGTTATGTAAATTCATTCATGATAATGATGAACTAAAGCGACACTCCAGAGCATCAACTAAGCTTAAAAGCAACAAAGAGAGTTCCATGACCTGAAAACTGAGGCATGTGACCTAGTTCAGTAATCAGACCATATACAACTACTATGTATGAGAAATATTTTGAGAAGATGCAAACCTCAACGATCTGGGCACCATTTTCATATTGTCCTTTTCCGCATAAACTTCTAAATCTTATCCAACAATTGTTAGACTTTCAGTGGAAGTGAAACTATTACTCCAATTAGGCCACTCACGGTTGAAAAAACAACAGATGGTGCTTGTGCATAATCTTCATCTGACACTCTTGCTAGAATACTCACTTTCGTTAGCATAATAAACTCTCCATAGTGCCATTGATCTGCCTTGTTTGGGATGTCACTGATCTCGTCAAATTGAGCATTTAAATACATGTTATACAACTCATCAGAATAGAGAGTAGAGTCATTTTGATAGAATTATATAATCATTAAAATTTAAACTTTTTGAATAATAACGGATTGCATGTGTTATTAAAAAATCATCAAACTAAAAACATTTAATTTTTATAAGAATGTTAGAATTCATTAACCATTAATTTTTTTTAATGCTAACAATCATTATAAATGTAGCTCCAGCTTATGGAAGTTTTTCAGTTGTGCACTACGAGTGTACACAGCTTATGAGAATTATATAACTAATATTTAGGAACCAACCGCTGTGACTCACTTATGTTGTGGCACTTTCACGAGTATAAAGAACTTGAATCTTCTCTTCTGGTATTTTGATAAAATAGGAAAGACAATATTATATATCATACTAATTCATTTAGTTACGTAGCTGTTTTTGTCATTCACTTTTCAACAAAGACTATAGTATCTATATATCTCGTGACCAACAATGGATCGTAAGAGGTATTATTTGTATATTTTTTCTTTTCTTTGCGTTCTCATATATCTTACTCAAAATACGTTGTAGTATTTGTTATTTTTGAAATACTTTTTTCATTTTATTCAATATTTTAATCAAACACATCATCTACTAGTTTTTCCATGTTTGCAAGAATCATTTTAATTGAGATGTCACATGTGTGTGTGTGATAATTTCTATGTTAATCTATTATTCTTGTTTTCTATTGACAACTATAATTGATTATTTATAATCTAAATGCAGAGTTCAGCTGAAACATCTTTTCGTTACCACTGAAATAGGCGTGCTTTGTATGTCTGACTCACCATATTGATGTGTCAAATGTCATTTTGCGGTATGTTACCTAAAGTCAAGTAAAATAGAAGTGCTTTGTATATTGAAATTGACTCACCATAAACTCTCTAATGTTCTTTTCCATTAAACATAGTCCGAAAATGTGTTTTCTCATTTCTCTGAGATATTTAGATACATCTAGTTCCTTAACCGTTTTAACTAATAATGTTCATTGGTTTATCTTCATTTTATATGAGCAAAGTTGTGTAAGTACATGTGGTTGCGGGGTTTTGAGAAGATAATGAACGAGAAACCCCAGGAGGACCTTTGTAGGATGTATGATCTGTTCTCCCAAGCAGATTTTGTGGGTCATATCAACGATGCACTGAGCTCCTACATTTGTAAACTGGAGCTTGACTCATGTTATGAAAACATACAACAAAAATATGAAGTTTATTTGGTTCTGATCAGCATATATTTACACATCTGATCAGGGGGTCTTTTGGTAGAACCAGCTGATTGAAGTTTAACGTATGCATGAATCAAAAATGTGCTACCAGTATAGTTAACAAAATTCGATGTCGTCCAGCGGTTAGGATATCTGGCTTTCACCCAGGAGACCCGGGTTCGATTCCCGGCATCGGAGCTTTTTTTGGCAAATCTTATAAAATATGATTTGAAAAACAAAAATTCTCTTTACCAAATGTATATTTCTTGCTTATACCATATCCATTTTCGGAAAATCTCTTGCTATTTCTGGCTGATACAGTACATGTGACCAAGGTGGAGAAAGGACAAAAGTTTATGGGCGTTAGAGGAATCAAACACTGACTCTTCGGCTTGGAAAAACTTCTGAAACTTGGTCCACTGCCTGAAAATTTGCGTAGAGCTGTGCTCGTAAACGGCTGTACTTCTATACGGTACTGGTTTGACTTTTGGACACCTTTTGGATAACAACGCAAGTCATAGTCTTTTCACATATGGAAGCAGAGAAATCTCTCCTTTTTATTGCCCGTGTCACCTTAAAAAATCATAGGTAGGTGCATCCAGGCTCATAATTAAATAATATATGTCGTTGTCTTCTTTGCAAAAACATTAAACATCTTCTGAAGAACAATAAGAGGATGTTATGAAGTATCTATACCTTCAAGAAGCGGTGTTTTGCAAGCCTCTGGACTCTTTGACTAATAGATCCTTCTTCTGGTTTCTGAACATAAAAGTAAAGACACAAAATATTATGGTATATATGTTTATGGAAAAGCGTTTCATTCAGACCCAATTTACGGATTAGACTAAAGCGTAACCCTCACTAACTGACTGATTTTTAGAACACTACAACGTATACTAAAGGAAAGCCAACTTTCAACAAGTGTGTACCGATGCAAGATCAATAGGGTATTCAGTATTGCCAAAGACTAATCATCTTATAGAGTAAAAATAACCATGTAAACCGACATGCCTTCTTGTGGAAGCTTTGGTATCGAAGCTTGTCCCCTGTTTCCTCTGCATCACCTCAGGCTCCTCTTGCAACTACTCCAAATGCACCTGAAGAGCTTGATACTCTGGTAAGTGACAAAAAAAAAACACCTGCAAGTATCCACTTTTAGAGGCTTAGTTTCTAATGTTTTGTTTGATCAATATGTACAGAAGCTGGAGTTATTTCCGAGAGAGAGAACTTAATCAAGGAACCAACAAAGCAAAGCATTAAACTGTTTAGGAAGACAGTTTTGGTATCTGAATCAAACATGTCCTCTTCTCTAACAACTTACTGTAAGTCACCGATTCAGCCATTACCACGGAAACTCTCCATGATAATAAACCCACAAGAAGAAACTCTTGAGCTGTTGGATGCAAATCCCTCCTAAGCAAGAAGAAGTGGAAAACAGATGCTTAGATTCAGAAAATGCCGTCCAAAATGAAGGATCATCGTCTGGATCAAACACAGGTTCGGTGGATGATACAGGACACACGGACAAGAGCTCAGAACCTGAGACGATGGTATGTCAATGGGAGTTTAAACCTAGCGAGAGGTCTGCATTTTCTTAGCTAAGAAGAGCAACCTCTGAGTCAAATTCAAGAAGAGAAAGATGGTTATAGAAGCAGAACAAGAACAACAAGAGATACGCATATACTTATAACCAGGATGTTTTTTCAGCGATCCAAGTCCTTAAATTAAATATTCATTCAACTTCTTTATGTTCATCAAAGTGTTCTTGTTTGTTGTTTCATTGTTTTCTTCGAGCTGTTTGTTGTTAATTCTGTAACTGTAAAACACTTGTAATATTTTTCTATTAATCTATAGATCGTCCCATGTATCTTTATGCAATAAGAACCATTATGTTATGCCCTCAAAATCGTCTTTGACACATACAAGAAAAATGATAAATGTTACTAACACTTAGGGACTAACCTATATATAGGTGACAAGTCTTTTCTTCTTTCATGTTTTTTGTATTTGTAGTCTCTTCACTCTTCTGCATAACATCTCTCACCTCCTCAAGGCAACTTTCAAGCTCCTTCAATTCCACACTCTCCGAGAAGCTCACTGTGGCCTACACACACGTCACCTTTATTCAGTCTGATAATAAAAGCTTATTAAGTATTGTGGGTATTAATTAATGATCATTTTGGTTAGTACTTGTTTGATTGTGTTCTTCAAATGCATCTCAGCACTAAAGATTTCTCTTCTGCTTCCAGAGGACACTGAGATCTCCATGTAGACTCTGCAAAGTTCCAATGATGCTTTTGCAAACAACTTGAAACGCTCTTTGTCTTTCCACACTTCTGATCCCTGAGAGAGATATCATCAGATGGAACTGAGAATGCTGCTCACAGATCAAAGAGGGGTTCTATTTATAAATGACTCATTAATACCTGATATGATCGCACTTGTTTCAACAGTGCCTCACTGCATACCATAAGATCTCCTTTGATTCTACTCCATCTTGCATATAATCCCCAGATTTCAGATGTACTTTCGGTTCGGACAATCTATAAGAAACATTATTACAAGCAAAAATAACGTAAAGAAAATCTTCAGACAATGAGAAGATATACAAAGATACATACTAGTTATTCAAATATTTTGCTAACCTGTTGAATAATTTTCCCAAGCAACTCTAAGTGACGTTGAGTTTCAGCTGGTGTTGCAGCACACGGTTCTGTTTCTACTGATTCAACCAATGAAGATGAAGACTTACATGCTGAATTTCTATTTTCTAACTCTGTCATTATACGGTCCAATAACACAGCATCAATCCTCTTGTTTTTGCTCATTCTCAGTATCTGTTGTATAGCTTCAAGGGTCTGAAAAAAACACACAGATGAAACCAACTCATATAAATCCATCAAACAGATATAGGGAAAACTACTAGCTAAGTCATGTATACAAAGTGACGAATTTAAAATCTTGAGTGACTTAGCTGCATCTACCTGATCAATATTTCCCACATCCATAGCAACATGGCTGAAGTTCTCCCACATCTGCCAGCTGTCTCGCCTGTTGATACACGGTGTTTTGAAATTGCTGACACCATCAATTTCTTAACTCGAGTTATAAATGGTAAGGGAAAGAGAGATACTTGAACTTAAGCGCTTCTTTGAAAGCAACGAATGATTCTTTGCTCTTCTTTTTAATCATATGCCTGCACCAATAAATTATATTCAGCATCACTCATAGTAGATGTGATAGCCAGTGCAGTAACATGACAATAGGTAGAAATGCATGCGTGAAACTGAAGTGCTTACAAACAAGCAATGTTGTTCCAAGCCTCTCCATTGTCAGGATCAAGTTGAACAGCAAAAGTGAATGCATCGAGTGCTTTCTGAACATCCCTTGCCTATGGAGTAATGTAGGAGATGCTAAAATTAGTATCCCTCGCAACGATTATGACAAGAATTTCAATCTTGTTTAATGACATCTGGAGTGGAAAAATATTTGCTACTCAACTATTGGAGAAGATGGAGTATGATAATACCTTCAATGCAGCAGCACCAAGAGCAAACCAACCATCCGGGTACAGAGAATTCAAGGCCATTGCAGACTCCCTAAAGGCAGGGTAAAAGATGAGACATCGCAACAGTACATCAGCCCTAACGGGAAAGTTTATATAGAAAATGAAAACGGAACCATATTGTTCAAACATACCACAGCATCTGCGACTTCTCAAAATCACCACAATTGTATGCGCTGCGAGCAAGAGCACGCTACAAGATAAGAGAGATAATTAGAGCGTGGACTGAGAGAGGAGATATAAGATTATTTGATTATGTGTCTCAAAGTACCTTAGCACGAACTGACTTATCATTTGAAACCTCCAGGGCTTTTTCATAACAGGAGTCGTTAATCGTAACATCACCAAGTGAACACCTGAGATCAATAATTAACAACTTTGTAATATAAACAAAGGTTATACACTAGTGGTACCAATAACCGTACTATCAGAGATTTATATATACCATAATCTTGGATCATTTGGCCTTTCCAAAAGCTGCGCATTGATGAGATCCACTGCTGCTAATTTCTTACCTAGAAAGCTGAAGTTTCACATCGCATTATAAGCTTAGCGACATAACATAAAATCCATATTGGAAAGGGAAAAAAACAATTGAAGCTTAGTTTACCAGTAGCAGTGAATTAGATTATCCCACAACTCCAAGCTCTCAAATATAGTGATTGCTTCCCCAACCAAACCACAACTCACCAGAAGCTCACCGTATTCCCTGTTGTTAAAATCAAATCGGTACAGAGCATAAGACAGAAGGAATATAAAGGATTCCTATACATGAACATAAGCAAAAAAAAATAACTTACTTTCTCAAAGCAGGAATGGTAGGAAGATGGACTGCAAAGCATAAAGGGATCCTTTCTGATACTCCAGGCTCGCTCTTGTTGATAGATTCAACCTAATAAAGACCATTATCACAGATAAGCTAATGGACGGAATGAAATAATGCTACAACAAGTGAGAAATACAATGCAAAAAGAAGAACAAACTAATTTGATATTGCCAATGCTCTGCATAGTGCACACATACCAATTTATCCATCATCTCCAGGGCGCGTCCCTTTGTGCGACTCCGAGTAGATTCCCATCGAACACGTAGTAAGTCACACAAACACCGCAGCTAATAGCATGTCCAAAGAACAAATGTCAGTCAGTTTGTTTCACTTGCATTGGCTATGAAGAAATGAACATCAACATATTCAACTGAAATAGGTGAATAAATGAAAGAGTGTAGCTTACAATAAAATACGTTGACTTTTGAGAATCAATTGCCTCAACATAGGGAGCCATATCCCATCCTGCAGGAACAAAAGTATTAGAATATATGTAAATAAAACTAAAGGACATAGTTATTAATACAGACACAAAAGCACGAGCAGACATCTTCTTTAGGCATTTTTGATTGCAGTCACAACTAATGTCTGGTAACGTAATTCACTACACAAAATTGTTACTATCATTCTCTCCATGTCTACATCAAAATACACTTGAAATACACTTGAAATTTGGGTTTACTTACTTTGCATCTCATCATTGCGACTACTCTTCTCAATTAAAAGGCACTGAGCCAAAATCATTGCCTGTTCGACAGGTTTTAAGGTCACAGAATCTTTGCCAGCTTCACTCTCATCGTTCACTAGTTTAGGAGTCATGAATACTTCAGGAGCTTCACCTCCCCAAGCTTCATAATAAGATCCAACATCAGCTTTTTCAGACGCCAGCCTCACGTCCCCATTGGATGAGCTAGTATTCGCTATCAATACCATTTGTGCCTTTGGCTCTACCTACATCAAAGATCAGAGGTACTTAGAATAACAAAGTCAAATACATATTAGCAAAAATAAATAAATCACATAGCTTACTTGATGAATAGTACGGAATCCAAAAGCACCACTAACTGATAGCTCCAGCTTTGATGCTGCTTTAGCAGATTCAAGCTGCAACCTGACAATTTCACTCCAAATCAGTACCAGTAGATAAAGATATCATAAAATGTTGTGATAGCTATCAGATATTAGACCAGTAACAACTATAACACATGTCACAAACCTCTCATATAAAAGTATTTTTGTTAATATCATCCCACAAGAAGCTATAAACATGTAAAAATTAGGTAAGGAGGATGCCTGTCTCAATGATAACTTACCGACAGGGATCAATCGCTCCATATATGTATTGCAACACACATGCTTCAAGATGGATGGTTGATGTTATGGATGAAACTTCTCCTTCCAGCAACTTGTCATCCCAATAGCTTTCAACTTTTTCCAAATCTCCAAAATGGTCTAAAGCTTTTGTCATATAGACTTGCAGCATATCAAACAAAGATGAAGATCGCTCTTGTAGAACTCTTTGATGAACAAGTAAAACTCTCACAATCCACCATGAAACACTCCTTAGTTCAAATGTTGTCTCAAACAACAAATCTTTTAATTTTAACAGCAGCATTCTAGCAAACACCAAGTGCTGCAGGAACAAAAAGAAAGTAGGATGGGTTTAAGTAGAGTCAAAGATCCGAAAGTACTTAAAAAAGGGCGGGCTCATAATATAAAGTAACCTGGAGATTAGAAAACTTGCCGAGCAAGTCAGAGCCTGCAGACAT